GGAATTGACCAGTGACCTCCTGGTTCATAGGTTGATGCTCAGCCACTGAGCCACACCAGCTGGGCTGGCATGACCATCTTTTAGATTTGCAGATTTTTTGAATTAAAAATTTTAGGTTGGCTGAAAACAAGGTACTGGGTCCTCAGGGTTCTTCCCTAAGCTACCTTCTTTTCTGATTCCGCACACACACCTTTGGTTTCCTCAGCTATGCTTTCTCTTCCGGTGACTCCTCCCCAGTTTTTATCCCCAGGTCATGGTCTCCTGGTTTCATACTTAACCATGGGCTGTCCCTCAGGAGGGTCAGAGTCAATCTGTGTCACACTGAGGTTGTGACCTATATATTCTCCCCTCCCACCTCGCCCTCACAATTAAACAAGCAAGTAAATAAACCTTCTTTTTCCAGTAACGTCTGTCTCAGTAAATGACACTGTTCATCTAGCTGGCCATTCCTTTCACTAAAAAGCTAATCAAATATTCCTGCTAAATCTACCTTCTAACATCTCTAGAATCACACCCTATACCTTTATTCTGCCGATCCCACTCTGGCAAAGGCCACATTCATCAATCACCTAGACCAGTGGTCGGCAAACTGCGGCTCGTGAGCCACATGCGGCTCTTTGGCCCCTTGAGTGTGGCTCTTCCACAAAATACCAACTTCTGCACATGGGCCACAAAGTTTCAATCGCACTGTACGTGCGCGCCTGCCTGTGGTATTTTGTGGAAGAGCCACACTCAAGGAGCCAAAGAGCCGCATGTGGCTTGAGAGATGCAGTTTGCCAACCACTGACCTAGACCATTACACCTGGGCCAGCTTAATAACTGGTCTCAAACCCCCACTCTTTCTTCCCTCAAATCCATTTGCCACATGTTAACAGTGAGATTTTTCTTTTCTAAATGATGTATCAGATACCACTCAACTCTTCAGGAACATTGCATTCAGCTGGTGCATTGATAAGCTGCTCTTTTCTGATTGGATGGCTCAGCTAGCATCAGTTCTGATTGGTTGGTGCAAACATTCTAAGTTGTTAAATATTTTGAATGGCACTCACTCTTCTGTAGGTTAAATCCTTAAACATGGTTTACAGGGCCCTTCATGATCTGGCTGCTACCTAAATCTATAGCCTCAATTGTCACTGCCTTTTCCCCAAAGACTACTTTCCACCAGCACCCAAATGCTTTGATGCCTTAAATCATATCAGCATCTCTGACCTCTAAGTCATTACACCTCTGTGCCCTGTGTTCGAAACATGCCTCCTCACACCATTCCCATATCCCTCTTATCTAGCTAATTGCTCCTCATCCTGAGACCTAAGACCACATGTCACTTCCAGGCCTGTGATAGCCTCTTTTTGCCCATATTTTAGCATCACTACCTTACCTATCTCTCATATGGTTTATTCCCTAGGCTCTCAACTCTGTGAAAGCAAAGCTTGTGTTTGGTTATTACCCCAGGGCAAAGTGCAGTCGTTGGCACATAGTAAACACTTGACACTAAATCGAATGAATAAATAGAAGGGAACAGATTTGGGGTCCAAGTGAGAGTCTTGAGCATGCTGATTTTGAAGAATCTGAGTGGTATTTAGATGGAGGTATCAGGAAAAGACTGGGCATGTCATTCTAGAATTCTCCGGCAGTGATTGGATCGTCAGCTGCAGATTTGGGAGGAAACATCATGTTGATAAACGTTGTTGGAAGCCCTGGTGTAGTTGGTAGTAAGTGAATTCCTGGACCAGGAGAGAAGAGGGAAAGCCAGTATTCATCATTGACCGCCCACCATCTCTTTCTTTGACTTTGTAATTTCCTGTGCTTC